GATAGAATTCACGTACTAAGCCCTAAACCGGGGGAGCCAGAGCCGCAAGACTCTGAGCCCTAAACCCTAAACCCTAAACCCTACACCCCTAAACCCCTAAACCCTAAACCCTAAACCTGAGCCCCTAGAAAACCTGACCCACGACTGGGAGCCTTGGGGTAGCTACATCAGATGAGGTTTAGGGTTTAGGGTTTAGGGTTTAGGGTTTAGGGCTTAGGGTTTCTCGGCTTGGAAACAGATAATCAGACAGTCGAGCTTCGCAATCAAGCCAAAGACAAAACAAAAGCAAGAAACTTCATTATTCATTTAGGGTTTAGGGTTTAGGGTTTTCAGTTTTTTTCAAAACACTAAACCCTATGGAACATCCCACACTCTATAGGGTGGGCGCGTTGGATTCCTACGGACCTGCTCGACTTGCTGAAGTTGGGTGTCAGAGTTGAGGGCCTCCGCAAAACTCGATGTGCCCGGATAGCCTCTCAACCCTTAGTGGGTTTAGGGTTTAGGGGTTTAGGGGTTTAGGGGTTTAGGGGTTTAGGGGTTTAGGGTTTAGGGTTTAGGGTTAGCCCTTGGCTAGCCTTATTTTGGGGACCATTATACTATAGTTATAACAATAAGGAGCCCCCCAAGATAAGTATAGGTAATTGCGAAGGCCCCTATATCGTAGCCGTCCACAAAGCCTGGAGCATTCAGCAGGACTCCGTCACGCACCCGGAGTCTGCGTTCTTTGTCCACCTGCTCCTTCATTGAGTTTGAGGTTCAGGGTTTTTGCGTCGCCAGTCCTTAAGGTGACTTTACGCTTTCGGCTTTTTTGGGTTGACAACCATAATAGGGTTTACGGTTTGGGGTTTGAAACCAGATGTTTGAGATTGGCTTTGACCAGCCTAGGCTTCCGACACGCAATGTGGAGGCCAACCATGTGCGCACGGTCTTGGAGCTGCATTGTGACGCTCTCGCAGCAGCAAGTTTTGGACTCCCACAGCAGCTAAACAGTTTAAACATGAACAATTGAAACCTAACCTGTTGTAGGGATCTTAGGTTGAGAGCTGTGTGAGTAAACCCCCCTAAACCCTAAAACCGGCTGATCTGGGGCTGCCTAGAAGTTAAGAGATACCGAAGATCGGATCCGAATTTTCAAGTCCGATGTGCAAAATCCTAGTAGCTCTGGATGCCATACTTTGTCTCAAAGCCTTAATTCCCTTAAACCTTGCTTATGAAGCCCTCCATAAAACCCCGTCTTAAAGAACCATCTAAATCTTTTCACGCCAAGGATGTGGCCCGCCGACTTTATGGGAAAGTAGCCTCGAAAGCCCAAACCCTAAACCCTAAACCCTAAACCCTAAACCCTAAACCCTAAACCCTAAACCGTTCCGTGGGATGGCGAGGATATGGTCTTCCGGAAGCTAGTCCGTGCGGCCACGGCGCCATTGAAGGTCGTGGAAGTTGGGACCCACCTAGGAGGCCATCCGGGCTTTGATATAGGAGCTTTTGTAATTTGTAATTAGGATAGGGCTTTGGGGCCCATTATAGTATAACTACTTATAGTAAGGAGCCCGGAACCCCCCAAAATAGTGTAGGTAATTATTAAAGCCCCAAAAGGAGACGGTGTTGGGGTTTAGGGTTGTGGATTTCCTCTCAAAAGGTGTGAAAAGGGTTTGGAGCATTCTGCTTTGAGCTTCTATGAGGGTTTAGAGTTTAGGGTTTAGGGTATAGGGTTTAGGGTTTGGGAGGGGCTTATAGGCTTTCCATACATCTATAATTTTACTACGAATGAGAATAAAACCCTAAACCCTAAACCGCAGGTGGGGACCTTCATGTCTGGGGAAGTTCAGAATCCGAGTTCGGCTTTCTGGGGTTCAGGGTTTAGGGTTCAGGATTTCGGTTTGCTCTAGGACCCTAAACCCTAAACCCTAAATCCTAAACCCTAAACCCTAGGCTTTAGGGTTTAGGGTTTAGGGTTCCGGGTTCTAGAGTTCCGGGTTGAAGGCCCAGGATCTTTGGAAGGCCCC